GCTTTAATGGTTTTTATTATTGGACGATAATAAAGAGTATATGTCTGTCTCTTATACTTTGATAACTCACTTTACTAATAATATTCGTAAATATACTATTTTATATAACTTACGCTTAATATAATTATCATTTTAAAACTTTATTAGTACAATATATAATACTAAATATTTGAACCAAGAAATGATAATATATATACAATTTAGAAAATATTTCTATTCATCAAAAATTCATTTTCTTTATGAAATCTTGGTATAATATGAACACTGTGTGTTATAGAATCTAATGGTACTATGTCATAACTTTTTAACATTAATAACCGAGGACATTCATAAATTTCTATATCTTCATTATCCTGCTTGCAATAATCATACCATTTTACCATTGCAAAGCTAAATTTTATGGTATTATATGAATTATTATTAATAATTATGTTTCCTAATAATAATACCTAATATAAAATTTAATAAAATAATAAATATATGATATATAATATTAAAAAAATAGTAATTTTTAAACTATTACCAACCTTTCCAAAACATGCACCTTAATCTGTAATATAATTAACAGCCTCTGTTTCTTCCATTACAATAGCAACATCACTAAACCATGGGATATTATTATAAGATGGATCTGCACGAATAATATCCATTGATACTAATGTTGCACTTTTATATAGTTGTATAAAACATTTGTCTTTATCTAAAGAAGTTATAGACATATTATCTATAAAATTGTTAAGAGAAGAATGTAGATTTTCCATTCCCTCAAGTTGCAAAGGATTCGTTATTTCTAATTGCTGAAAAATTTCTGAATGGTTCTCAAATAAGGAGAAACATATTATAAAGTATATCCGATAGTTTTCCTTTTACTCTAGTTTTAGTTTTTTTTATAGTTTCTGTTAAGGCTTTTTGTCGAATCTATCATAGTATGTATTATTCTTGAATTAAATAAACAAAACTTCTATTTAATTTTAATTATAAAAACAAAATATCATACCCTATTTAAAATTTGATTCATAACTTCTTTTTTATTACTTTTCCGATAAGGATTTTTAACATAAAACTTATGTAAGGTCTTATAAGTTTCACTGGTATATCCATTAATTGCATCAAATTGACTAATTGCAGAAATAACATGATATCTCCAAGAATGTAATTTTGGTAGACGTAAATTACTAGGATTAAATCTAGCAAAAACATTTACAAACTCACAGCTCCATATTGTAATTAAATTCTACAAATATTAAAAATATTCAATTATAAATAATAGCTCATTTGTAAAAAATATTTGAATACTATTTTACCTCAAATTCATTTAGATCTTCTTCTAAGAATTCTTCTTTACGACTCATTAAATACATACGAATAAAGAAAAAATATACTAAAGCAAGTTGAGTTGATGATATATATATATTTTTACTTTTAAATTTACGTTCTTTAACATATGAATCTTTGTCATCAAATATACCATCAATTACTGAAATAATTACTTTCATTACCATTCGGTATTCATCTGCTGTTTGTACAGTAGCAATTCCATTATTAAAAATTTTCAATCCAGGAAACTTGGGAATTGCTGCTAACCGGTTATTAAACTCTTCAATTACCCAATTTCCACATTGTTCAGTTAAAAGAATCTGTGTATAATCTAACATATACTTAAAGAGTCCTAAATCCAAATGGTGCATTCTATCAGGTAAAACTAACTCATAAATATTTAGTTCCCTTATAAATTAGAAAAAAATTGATATTATTATTGATTTAAAATATATTTATTGAAGTTTAAATAAATTTACCTAAAGTTCCAAAAGATATTTTTTTGATTATGAATTGAATAATCATGAGCTTCTTTATTTTGAATAACAAAAGCCATTGATTCAGGTGTTCGTAAAATTATGTCTTCTTTTGAAAGATTCATATTATTTAAATTTTCAACAAGTACAGTACAGTTTGGACATGACATCTTGCAAATAGCTGATTTGTAAGTGCATGTAATTGCATTTGCTTCTAACATATCTGCAATAAATACAGATATTCTTGGAAAAAATGTAACTTGTGTATTGTTTATTGTAAACTCCATTTCTTCAAGTTCTAAAATAGGACGAAGTATAATACTCCAACACCGCATTTCTATTTTACGTGTAATTTGGCAAAAATAATCAGTTGCTTTGTTTTTACTTTGGAGAATTGACATATACCCTAATATTACTTTAGCATCTTTTTTATTTCTTTCCCAAGAAGGAATATTTCCTAAAGTAAGAAAAACTGGATGCTGATGAATTTTTCCTAAGTTATCATAAAGTGTTGCATCAGAATACAAAATAATTGATAAAATTTTATTTCCAATTTTTAATTTAGATTCTGCTTTTTGCCACCAATTACAATTATACTGTTCAGCAAAAATTTGTGAATGACTTCCATCCTGCAAATATATAAAATTAGATTAAAGAATTGCATTTATTTATTAATAAAAAATTAATTACTTACTATATTCATTTTTTGTTTTTTTTCAAATTGGAATACAAAATCTTTCATTACATCTTTTTTTTGAAGAAGCGCTTTAATGGTTTTTATTATTGGACGATAATAAAGAGTATATGTAACACCTTCAAAAATTATTATATTTTTCTCTTTAAAATCAAGATTAGGTGCCACCATTGAATCTATAAATTTATGCATTTCTCTGGAATTCTTTGGTAAAGGTGAATTTTTTATATTTGCATTTTTGTTAAAAAATCGAATAAATGAATCAGTAGTTTGATTTGATAAATTATTATTAATACAAATTTCTGCAAATTCTTTATAAATTTCATTGGGCCATTGTGAAATATTAATATCAAGAGTTGCATTTACTGCATCTTCAAAACTGGCTCCATGAAAATCTTCTGAATCAACTGAATCAATATCACTATCTGAAATATTCATAAATTCTTCACCATCACTATCACTCATATCATTTATAATTTCTTCAATTAGTTCAGTATTATCCAAAATATTCATGAATTCTTTACCATTATTATCACTTGGATTGTTCATAATCTCTTCAGTTAGTTCAGTATCATCATCATCTGAAATATTTATAATTTCCTCAACATTTTTTGTATTATCCATATTTTCTTGAGTATTGTCAATTTCTTGAAATAAGGAAAAATTAAAAATTTCCTGTATTTCTGATACATTTTCTGATTCCTTAATTATATATGATGTAATTAATATGAATTGTCAATTGTATTATGATTAAGTGCATTTTTTAAACTCACCTTAGGTATTTTTGAACTTTTAAATAATTCTTCTTCTTGAAAATGAAGAAAATTTATACTATGATCATTTATAGTACTACTTAGTTCATTTTCTACAAAACAGTGTTGATGCTGAATATGCTGTAATAGTGCTTGTTGCTTTGCAAAGTTTCGATCACATCCTTCAAAAGGGCAATGTAAACTCATGGTATATTGAAATTAGAACCAATTTTAAAAAAGTAACTTGAAAAGTATAATTTTATAATGTTACATAAATATTTAATAATAACTGGAAGAAATAACTATATAGTGCAATTATATAATATAAATGATATAATTGTCAGTAATGATATCATAATTATTTAATACAGTACAGTCATTTAATAATAGTACATAGATTAAATATTAAACTGAAATTCATATATATTAATTTGTATCATAATAAAATTAGGATATTGCTAAACATCACCAGTGGTGTTGGTCATCAATATGATGTAATACTGGCCAGTATTTTATTAGATTTTTTAATTCTGGTTGAAAGTACATTATAATGCTATCACTACCGGTGAACTTTAGCAATCATATTCATAAAATTATTATACAGTATACAAATTAAAATAAGGGTTACACAGAGATGCAAAATGAGGTCAAAATGATGTATAAATATGCTTCAATTAAACTTATTAGTACTTCAATTAAACTTATTAGTAAGCTATTAATAAACTCATGATCATATAAATACAGTAAAGTTATTTTAAATCTTCTTTCCATCCCTATTTAATTCTCTGTTTTTCATTTAATAACCTTTTTTTACAATACAACTATTAAAAATAATCATGGCAGATATGGAAAGATCTAGTAAAAAAAGAGGAAAGGGAAGAAAAACCAATTCAATAACTCAAACTACTCGTGTACCTCTTAGAAGTCTTAGAAGTCAAAGGCAATTTAATGATGGTATTTAAAATTTTTTATTAATGATAATTTCTTTACTGCAAAATAAACAAAGAATTATTAAACTGTGGCTAGTGGAATTAAGTAATAAACTTTCTCACAATTATTGAAAAGTTTGTCAGGATAATCCTGAAAGAAATAGTCAAGATGATCATCAAGAAAGTCTTCAAAACCATGAAATTCACGATCAACAAATTCATGGTAAAATCAATTTTATATATGTAGATATATAATTAATTTGTGTACTATAAAATGCTAATTATTTTTGCATATTAATTTCATTTCTTTAACAACCCCTTAATGAAGTTCCTGATAAAAAAAAGGTTACCAATGAGGAGGAAGAAGATAGTAGTGATGTATCCAAGGAGAATGAATCAGAAACTCCAAGAAAATATAGAAAAAATGATACTGATAATTTAATGCCAAAAGCTAAAAAAACTACTGGTGCGTACTTCCAAAATTTGAATGTATATTTTTAAGATTTACATTTTCCACTTAAATAGAAAGTGAAAATGAAGAATACTATATAATTCCCATAAAGTTTCTTGAAAAATTAAACAATCAAAATAAAGTTTTATGGAAAAACCAATTGAAACAAGAAAAGAGACTTGAAGATATAAAACAAATACTTTTAAAAATACATTGTGAAGAATCTTTATCACCCACTTTTTTTAAAGTAAATGTTGTTTTTGATCCTAGATTTGTAAATATTTTTGACAACATTTGAACTTTTTTTAACAGAAAGGTATTGTAACGATTACTAAATAAATACAAAAGAAATCCTTATACCCCATTCCAGAATTATTCAAGGAATATCTTGAGGTATATATTGAAAAAGGGTCTAAGGGATATATTAATGATATTGGGAGACATCGTTGGGATTCTCGATTTTACTCTGAATTTATGCCTATCGTAAGTGTTATTTATTTTTAAAGTCTTTAATATAATAATTTTTATGAATATTAATCTTGTTTTTTATTTGATAATATACTAGTGTCTCGACAAGATGAAAAATCGTCGAGGTATACTCGCAAAAGAAATAAGAGCTACACTTTTTAAAACATGCAATATTCCGGAAATTAAAACAAATTTGGGTGCAAAAATTACTGATTGGAAAAAAAGTCCTTGTGTTACAGAAGCATACGCGAATTTGTGGAAAGTTTACAATACTGGACTTTTCGTAATTAATGGAATTATTATGAAGGCAATGCCAAAAGAATCCAATGAAAATTGTTTAACACCTTCAATAATTTCATTTGCTCTTGCCGTCTGTTGTATTGTTTTAAATCCACATAGTGACGAAATAAGATGCACAGAAGACGCCATTAAGCAACGATCATCTATTTTCTTGGTATGTTTATAATTTAAATCTATAGAAATGATGATCGGAATTATCATTAATTTGTTACTTTGGTAGGTATTATTAAATGAAAATACATTTCCAAAAGAAAGTGATATTTCGGAAATTCAGGAAGGATCAAGAGAAATGACTAATTATAATGATAATGTTGAAGAAATTTCTGAAGATGATGATGACGCGAGATTATTTGAGTAGTTATTTTACTGTTCAATTCATAATTGTTTGTAATAGAATATAAATTTTATTAGTAAAGAAATGCAACGAAAAGATGTAAAATTTTATTATTAAATAAATGCAAAAAATTTCATTATTAAAAAATGCGAAAGTTTTTATTATTGAAAAAATATGAAAATTTTTATTTTAAAAGAAGCGCGAAAATTTTTATTATTGAAAAAATACGTGAATCTTTATTATTGAAAACATATATAAATTCTCATTGATAAAAAGATACGTAAAATTTTATTTTAAAAAAAATGCGAAAATTCTTATTATTAAGGTTATTCACTATTTTTGTACACCCGTATACCCCGTAGGTGGTGTAAATTTGCGTAATTTTTTAAAGACGTAAAATTTTGCAGATCCACGCCTTGTTTTAACTCCTGATGCAGGTAAGTAGATAAAGGGTAATTATAGTTCAGTGGTCATAATTTGGTGATCATAATTTGGCGGTCATAGTTCGGTGGTCATAGTTCGGTGATCATAGTTCAGTGGTCATAGTTCGGCGGTCATAGTTTGGTATTCCAGGTAAGTAGATAAAGGGTGGTCATAGTTCAGCAGTCATAGTTCGGTGGTCATAGTTCAGCGGTCATAGTTCGGTGTCCCAGGTAAGTAGATAAATAGTGATCATAGTTTGGCGGTCATAGTTCGGTGTCCCAGGTAAGTAGATAAAGGGTGGTCATAGTTCAGTGGTCATAGTTCGGTGGTTATAGTTCAGCGGTCATAGTTTGGTGGTCATAGTTTGGTGGTCATAGTTTGGTGGTCATAGTTTGGTGGTCATAGTTCAGTGTCCCAGGTAAGTAGATAAAGGGTGGTCATAGCTTGAATCAGATTTTGAAGCCTGAGAGGCTAACTAAGGTGGCCATAGTATTATCATAAGTTTTTCGAACTGTGACCAGTACTATGACCGGATATTCTGTCTGATTTTGGCTTTATTCGTGTTTTTATCTACTTTTTAGTAGTCTGGTCATAGTGGTCATAGTGGTCATAGTAGTTTTATATATAAGAAAAAATGGAGAAAAAAAAAGGAGTTGAAAAGTAGTGTGACCAGCCATGGCCACTGTGGCCATGGTGGTAGTATATATGGGGGATGCCTGAGCCCCGTAGGGGCCAAATAGGTACTGCGACAGGTCATAGACCCAGAGGTGGGTGGTGCTTGCACCTCTCACATCCAGCCCGACGACTCAAAAATTTAGATGACGCACATGAACATTTAATTGAAATTTTGAAACTTATCGAAACGAATTACAGAGAAGTTTCAATAACACCAAATTTACATCTTTCATTATACTTGAACAAATGTTGTAAAGATTATGGTTCTCTTTACTCATTTTGGTGTTTCTCCTTTGAAAGGATGAATGGAATTCTTGGTTGGTATTTACAATAATATTATTCAAATTATTCAGAATTATTACTTACGATTTTATAATTATACAGGGAGTTTACCTAATAGTAGACAAAAAATTGAACTGGAAATTATGCGATTTATGATGCAGAGTTCTCAAATTGAACGAAGATTCAATACATTGGCTTTAAATTATCAGGCCATTTTTCAAATACTTGATTTAAATAATGATACAACTGACGATAACGAAAATGAATCTCTCGAAAGTGAGGAATTACAGGCATTTTTAGACATATCTGAAAAGCTAGTTTCTGGTGGGCAACAGGAACAGAGGAATATTCTGAAGAACTTTTAAGTCCGATAAAATTGAATGTCATATTACCGGATGATATTTTGGATTTACTAGTTGATTACTACAATCGCGCTTATGAAGAATATAATTTTAGCCGACCACAGTTAGATTC